TCGAAATAATGACAGGTGGGAGTTTATTCCACTCGGGGTTAGTTCGAGGGAAGAATGATGCCTTTCTGGTCTGGGTTTTTGAGTGGGGAATTCGATACGAAAACTGGTGGTTTGTTCGGGATTTTCTAACTGTAGGTATTAATCTGTCTGATTTTACGATAGCGACTTTCTGGTTTACAATGTTATGAAGCATGGTCAGACGAGCATCTCTACGTCTGTCTGCTAGAGGGCGCAGCTTTAGGTGGTCCAACCTTTTTGACACACTGGAGGTACGATGGTTGTACCTGTGCTTATTGAGCACATAGCGCGCTGCCCTTCGCTGGTCCATTTCCAACTTGTCAATATTTGTTTGGGTGTGATGGTCCCATACTGTACAGGCATACTCAAGTGATGGTCGAACTAATGATTTGTATGCCTGTACTTTGGCTGATGTTGAGCCAATTTTAAGATTTCGTCTTAAAAAGCCTAGCGTAGAATTTGCTTTTGGGCAGATAGTATTTATATGTGAATCCCATTTAAGGTCAGATGATAGTGTTACACCCAGATACTTGGCCTGACTAAGATGTTCCAGTATGTGTCCATGTAAAGTATAATTATACTATTCGCCCAGCTCTTTCCCGTCGAAAAAATCCCTACGGACGACTTGACTTACGGACGGCTTGACGCATTGCAAGACTATTCGCCCGTTTCTACCCAACACCACCCAATGACCAGTTTTCAGTCACTTACTGAAAATTTACCCCTACAGTAGATTTCACCCTATAATATCAACATATTATCCATATTATGACTAAATGTGATTGAAAAATGCAGTTTGGTGATTAAATAATGGCCTTAAACTATGAAAATACGAGCAAATTTTGTACTCGAGATCGATGGACCTCCTCTCTCTAGCGCATACGCACTCCTTGACCCCAGAGAAAAACCACACATCACTGCACTAACATACCTTTTTGTTTAGATATGAACAGTATAGAACGGTCTGAGTTACTTTTAATATTCTGTAAATTACAAATTAAATTTGGTAGGGAGTACTTTGTAAAAATGATGTGCTGTACTTTCAATATTCATTCAATGCCGTTAATGTTAGATTGTTGTTTTGTGTCATTATGGAGGTATTTGTTTTCAACAACCAAGTCTAAGTCCTTGGCAATTATGGCATTATACAACATGAGTCATCAAACACGGATTATTCAACAAAAGTCAGTGATGAATCAGATATTTCCTTTGGTGAAAATTCCAATTTATATTAACAATAAGTTTTGTATCAACCTATTAAAACTACTATACTGTCGCTACATGAACTGTTAAATTAAAGACATAAAGGAGAAAAAGCCGATATCAAAGAGAGGAATTACGATGAAATAGTTAGGATAATACTCTTTGTAAGAAACATCAGTTGTCTTTTAAAACCACATCAGAAAAGTAAAGCTAGTTATATGCGAATCAGTTTGCTGATGATTATATTTTCCTTATCTTTATCAAACATATTTAACTGCATCAAAAACGGTGTAACATTTTTCTTTTACATTTTCCCTGTGATATTTATTAATTAAAAAGTAAATACGTCTAAACCTGCGCAAAGCGTATCCTTAATAATGACCGAACGAATTGTTACTGGTCTTAATGTCGAGGTTATATGGTACCATTCTTCTGACGACTTGACTGGTTATCTAGGTAATGGTGTTTTTCATATTTCGTAACTAGATGTCTAGAGGTGTATAATTAGGATCAATATTTTATTACGATTTAGTTATCGTTGTACACCTACAAGTGAGCTCGGGCGAATTAAATAATCAGATTAATAAAAGCAGATGACGTTATATAAGCGCAACCATTCACACATATATATACCTGTTTGTGTAATTTTTGCTTTCGCTAACAATTTGTTAACTAACTACATTTATTACATATATAAATATGACAAACAACGTTGTTTTCATTTTGGTGTACGATTTTAATAACACAAATGCATCATATATTCATCATATATTTATTACGATATCTTATTTTCGTCTGACAACGAAATGGGAATCCACAGGAAATTAATGTACAGTATGAACGCAACATTTTTGCACGAGAACAACTAGCATTTGTGAGGAAAAAAGATGGTGTGCCTTCGTGTAACAAAAGATATATAGTAATTACAATTGCAATTATTGGAAACTGAACCGGAATTCCGGAGAAATGATGCCAACTATGTTACTAGACTCCATGTTAGAAGATAGTGCGATATATTTGCTAATGGAAACAAAACGTTCAAAAAAAGACTGTAATATAATGGCAACTTATCAATATGGCTATATAATATTTGTTTTACTTAATTAATTGTACACGTCCAACGTTATGGTGTAATACATGATAATGAAGTAGATGTACAATAACACATATGGTAGCATGCATGTTTATGAACAAGATTTTTAGTGTTGTGTTGGTTCGCCATTTGTTGTTGTACATGACGGCTAGACATAATGAATAAACTTGCATCATAGGAGTCGACAACCCATTGAATCGTTCCTGTGTTACATCTCCTTTGTGTGTAGTTACCACAATGTCAGTTATATATATTACTGTTTGGGGCATCAGAGGTAGTTGTTTAGTGACGTTGTAATACTAAAGGTTTGAACTGGTAGATTAAAAGCTGCGATGTCGTTTCGAATTTCCAGCATTATGAACTGCTCTCTAATCCCAGAGGTTGGTCGCAACGTTGAAGCCGGAATGTATTCTGGCGCAGTTGACACTAAATACTATTTTAGAGGAAAAAGGACCCATTAGAGACAAAGGTTGCATATCGGTAATATTTTTAACGTTTTATTGCAACAATGTTACTTTTCCTTTCAGCATCTGTACCACTGAATTGTCCTATTTGAATTAAATTGTCAAATGCTGCCGAAATCTTGTTCACTTTTATTTTAGCTCTCTTCATCGACTTTCTCAAATAACTTCGAATTTCCAGTGATTATTAATTTTAGGAACCTGTAATCCCGAATTTTTGAACAATATATATATTCGACTGCAACCAAAAGACGCTATTACATAATTCACTTATACACCAAATCAAAAAGGCAAAAACGAGGCAGAGTATACCTTATAAACAATGAGCAAACAGCTTGACCAGTATACACTGGTATATCTATATATTATTAAAGTGTTACTTATATGTACATATGTATCATGTTTTTATACATATGAATTAATTATTTTACAACAATTATGCAAAACTCATATAATTTGTATAAATCACTCTTGTTGGTCGATATGTTAGTGCGCGAGAGTCTTGATATTGGAGGAAACCAACGTGGTCGGGCAGATGACCAAATACCTTATCACGTTCGATCGGGGAATCGAACCCCGGTCGTCTTGGCGAAAGTCGAGTGTGTTATCTACTGCACCACTCGATCACCTAATGATTCCTCATATGTACCACTACCACAACCGTAACTAAAACATTCGGAACCTTTTTTTCTGACATGACTTTATTTTGAAAGATAATTTCTGTAAAAATACCCTTCGTTACGATTTGTTTACGAAAAATGAAACAGATGAATTTGAAATAAAAAATCAGCAGCTGTAGATTGCAGTCACAGTATTGAGTTACCTGGTCACCGCTTATATCCTCCCTTGTTGGTTTGCTTGTTAGAGTAGATTTACGTCCGCTTCACTACCGCGCAGTTTGGTTACCAGTAGACGAACGTACCCAGACGAAATGAAGAGAAGATTACTATATTAACGAAAAACTGTCGTGGAATTCTCTTTCGGTTTGCCTGCAATTATACAGAGATCATTAAAGTTGTGTAAAGTCAAAATGCGTATATATATGATATTTCAATTATTAATTAAGTAGATTTTAAAACTATACTATGTGTTTGACAACTGCCTTAAACTCGATAATTTGTTACTTTACTATATATCTGGAGATATTATACTCATTGATCACTATTGTTTAGTTTATCTTAACATAACTACAATATAACTGGGGTTAATAGAATAATAAGTGCACGTTATCGATTCACTGAAAGCAGACGATACACAAGCAACCCTGCCATTCCTGTTTTCGCCACGACTCGTTTGATTTGCTATATCTAGTGCAACAACGTTCTTTTTTAGTTATATATGTATATGATTTTTGCCTTATAGTCCGAGAATTGTAAATTACGCACGCAAATAATAAGCAGTATTAACGCGTGACAATGAGTATAACAAAAGTTATATACGCCAAGTTCATCTTTTGCTGAGCTATTTTTTTCGAGATATGGTGATAATAGTCGTGATAATAGTGCTACACAATACATCGTGATATATTGTCACTGTATTGTGTAAAATAGTTGTTACGTGACGTCTAAAGATTTGAAACTCGACTTAACTTGTTTTTTACCTGGATGTTGTGCTACAATACACTTGTTACTGAACTAGGTATCTAGTTTCATGGTGGTTTTGTTTCCATGTAGCAATACCGTTGTAAACAAATGCTTTCTGCACAGGTGCTTCATATGTCGTAGACATCGACTGCTTAAGTCCTGCGTATCCTTACTTGTTCAGCATCATAAGGAAAAAAAACTATCTTAATAAACAGTCTCAGTTGAATAAAGTGCTGGCCAGAGTGTCAGATTTCGAAACTGCTATTTGACATTATGATATTAAAGGTATAAATTTGTCCATCAAAAGTGATGATGTCGTTTCAAATACCTGTCAATATGGACTGCTTTTCTGATATGCTGTCTGAAGTTGTATTTTTATACCGTCACGGTAATTATTGTTCAAACCTGATACCACACTTGGTAGGTCTAAATGTAACATAATGCAACATCACTGGGCATTTCTTATTTGTTTCCATACCTGTTCTTCTGTTTAAATATAAGATTTAGTGTTTTGACATTGTGACACCCGGCATGGTTTCGACTTGAATAGATAATGAATTTGTGGGTTCCTATTTCCCGTCCTCAAAACATACAATGGACCACCAGCATGATTATTGTATAATTTGTAGTAATAACAACAAGTTGTCGAGATGTAAAAGTATATTATCTTTAATGTTCATCAGATATATGAAAAATGAGACATTTTTTTGGTCTTGCCAAGCTCTGCATTATTGCCATGACGACACAGCGATAACGACCAGACAAGATGGCTGACAGGTACTGGCCGATAAACAGAATGTCGGTTGCATGTGATAAACAGCCCTGACGTCATGGTGAACGATGACACGTGCGATGACCTTGTTGGTAACGGTGGGAATATCAACCACAACAATCTGATTTTTTCATATGTTATAAATGCATATATATGTTCATGATCCTCATAGCTAGAGCAAAGTCTATTTGAAAATAAGATATATTTGCTCAATGTCCTTTTTAAGTATGTAATTATACGAATCAGTGTGATCATACTAAAGTGTTCATTTTAAAACAATCGCGATTACAACAAAGTTCAATTTTCCACAAACAACTTGTACCGCACCCATTATGTTACTTTTTAGCCTTCTCTCTTTCTCGCTTTCTCACTCTCTTTCTTTTTTGTGTGACCCTGTTCAATATTGATTGTATACATAATTTGTAAAACATCGTACACCGTCTACAACTTACTTACTTTCTTGCGACGATATCATACAAATCACTCGTTCACAAAAATAAATATCACTCGCCAGTAACGTTACGAAAAAAGAAACGCAATCGAAAGCACTTCAATCAGAATATTATTGATATAAATATTTCATATTTACAAACACTATAACATGGTAAATGTTGTTCACTATGACATACAAAAGTTCACCTAAGAGGAAAATACTGTTGATAAAAGCACAAGTGAAAATTTAATAAACATGTTCGTGTTGAATATATGATAATGAGTACAATAGTAAACAGCATAGTTAACAGTGTGTATGTTTAAGTGTGTGTTTATTTCTGTCACACGCATTCAATTATTTTAGAATTGTTATCAAAATTATTTACATAAATAAATGTGTATAATTTAAACGATATATAACCATCTTTAAAGTACTCACATTAGCGAATTTATATTTTAGCGCTCAATATTTAAGCAGTCCTACTATTAGTGCGAGAGTGGCGTATTGACTCTTTCCTTCATGAAAATAATAATCCAATACAGTACGTTTACAGTTCTTTTTAGCGATTTATTGATCTGTTAAATCATGTTTAAAAGAATTGTATTTACCTCCGATTTCAGAAAGTATCTTTTTGCTGTTCGTTATTGTCATTCACTACAATGCTTTATTGTAAACGATAAGATGTAATCGATTTCTAACAAAACATACAGCGACCAAATTGATATAATTTCTAAATATGGAAAGGTGCAAGTGATGGTCATCCGGCGAATATACCGATAAAAAGTAATGTGCTCCATTATCACATGTAATGGCCATTGTTATGTAATTGTCCTTAGACAAGAGACATGGTTCCCACATTACTGGGAGGACTGGTCTGTGTGATCGTTTATACAATGGTAAACTCATGTGGCGGGCGGCATGTTATCTGCGACAATCTACAACATCCGGTCCAAAAATCGACCCTAAACATTTGCGTTTCTTTACGGAAAAATAAAATACATATCATGATTCATGTAATTGTACGTTTGAAAATATCAGCTAATTTGGTATAATGAGACAATCATTTACCTAAAGTACAGTCATAGCTTAATTGTTGTGGAATACATAATAACAGCGGAGCGTTGATCTTTTCACAACGAGTTGAGATTCTGCAGTCGATTGAGCTCTTTTGATGCTGTTATCATATTAATCCACGGAAGCTTAATTTGAAAAAAAAAAAAAATACTTACAAAAAGAAACAAAGTTCACCTCAATATCTTTGGTATAAAACATCGGTAAATAAAAATGTGCAAGCTGAAGTACACACTTTATCTGGGTTAAATCCCCAGATTACCTCCTACGTATCTAAGTCCTTAGTGCTGTCTGAGGAAGGAACTGCATTATGTGTTACTCCCCCGCATATCCTTTGACTAGACCAACCTATCACGTGACCATCTGACGGGTCAACCTACACAGACGAGCAATCGGGGATATGACGGTATAGCACTTATCCGGGAGACGATAATATCACCTCTCGTACTCTATTTTATCTCGCGGGATTTCAAACTCGCTGTCATTGTTATCCGCTTTCTCTCTGATTGATGATTAGATATTGATTGCGTTAAAGCTGACACAATATGTGGTATAAAGCAAATGCGAAGATATATTATTATATTACAAGCTTATGTGTTTAACCTTCAATGACATCTTCAATAAACAATGGCAATTGATATTGATTATAAATGCCGTTGTTCAACTACGTATTTGTTTCTATTGTGGGAGGTAACAAACGATTATCTTTATTTTCTTCATGCATATTCATATGTCCCTTTCACCAACCATATACTCGACTTCAGTGGCTATGATTTATTCAAAACGTATATCAGTTCTGCACAATGATGTCACAGACCATTGAAACGAGTTTGGAGGATGCAAGCATCACAACAGTTTATATGATAAATAACATGAATTAATTGGAATGAACGAGAAGTATCGTATCAAAATATATGTTTGTACACTGTACATACAACAGAGAACCATATACAATATATACCTATACATATATATATAATGTTCCTGGCATATTGTTTGATAAATACATGTATATCAGCGTCTTTGTGCAACGGTAACCATCGTCATATTCAAAACAAATACGGGTTTTTGTTTTTATTCAAATACCTGTTTGCCAAGAAACTTATTGTGCGTCCATATAAACATATACAGTTTTGGTGTTGTCGGAAAACATTCGTATTGAAGTTGATACGACCGAACAATTTATAAATATATTTGTAGTCGAACATCTTTGTTTAGATTTGTCAAAATACGATGACTATTTTCCCAGCCATGTTAAGTAAACACCATGACATCCGTTTGTCCTTTGACAATGCGGACTGTTGATATCCATTCGGAACACTCCTCATACGACATCCACCCGCACGTCCTCCTTACATTTCTGTACGAGCCCATTATTGGCGACTACCCATCAAGGCACTTGTTGTTTTTACGTCTTTACAACAGTGATGTCATGTTAAGAAGAGCAATATCATTGTCAGTAAGTGGACATAAATTGCCGGCGCGATCGAAGGACCTCGATTGCTGCCACGTGAATATTCCGTGTATGTGCCTTGAATTAAAAAAAAACATGGGCGTTAAAAACAAGTCATATATTTACCATATACTTCTTCGTAGGATAAGCGAATCTGAAATAGTAAATTGTCTCTATTTCTATTGCTTTTGATATTATTTACCACTAATGAGTCTTTTTAGATGGACGCAATGTTTGCTTTCTTAATTGACCAACTTCATTTGTACAATGGTGTATCTGTACTTCGCATTTCTAGACGCTATTTTAAACGATTAACTTAACACATATAGAGAAAGATATATTAAAACACACACACATACACATTGTAAAGTGTAGGAACACATAAAGGAGTACATTTTACAGTTTATAATGTTTTGTCTATATGTATTATATGACGATATGTTTTTCTAATGTAGTGCTTATACGTGTCTGTTCTTGTATGCTAGAGTAATGTTCATGTATGCTTTGGTAATCGAATGTAGATCTAAATTGTAAAACTAACTACTTAACGACCCCCCC